CCAGTATCAGCTCACAAACAACTCAGCGCACTACAACTATGAATACGAAACTGAGGAGCTCAACATCTACCTCAGGGGCTGCAGAGAGGCCCTGACCAACTACTACATGAGCCTGATGAACACCATTGGAACTGGAGTACTATCAGTCTTCCTCTTACAGGTATACTGTTATAATTACAGTGGTTTTACAGTCAGCCAGAGTGGTTGGTACTAAGGTGAGCTTTTAATTTGGAGGATATTCAAGCCATGACATTGTTTTTATTGATTGGTAGAGCTGCCAAGGTGTTAAAAACACTAAATTTAACATTGTGTCACGTATTTACAAGCATGTGAAAAATTGTGCGTCAATGTCCCACCCTTTTATATATACGCTGTCCATATGTTTCCTGTCTATTCTTACTTATTCCCAAAATCAAATTACCTTTGTGGATTACTAAAGTTCTATTGTATTGAATTGAATACAGTAAACATATGAAGGGCTGAATGCAAAGTTAAACATGCAATTTTTGCAATTGTGTAACTGAAATATTTCGTTAATAAGAATCCTAACTTGATTGAAAGTGGACATTCATTGATTCCTCATTCATTCTTTGTGTCTGCTGTGAACACTTGATGCAATATCCATCAATCGCCACTTCCAAGTCTATGCAGATGCTTGATGACGCTCTCTGTGGAATCTGCTCAGTATCTAACTCCCTCCACCATTTTGCCTGCTCCCTCTTCCCCAGGGCTCTGTGCTGGTGAGCCTGCGGTTCCTGCAGACCTCCATGGAGGCAGTGGCAGGGAAGGAAAATACAGAGATTGAGACAGAAGGGTACTTGCTGGAGAAAGGAGTGAAAGAGACCATCATGGAGTACATTGACCCTGTGCTGAAGTTCCTCCTGCTTAAAAACCAGGTGGAAGAGGGCACCCCAGCTGCTGCCCCAGCTGCTGCCACCTAACTACAAACAATGTATACACATGTAAATAATTTTTACACAGAAAGGGCAATTAATGGATGATTATTTAAATTTGAAAACAGAGTATTAATCACACATTTCTATGAATTTCGCAGATTTAGGGATAGTATTTTTTATTGTTTGATGACCATTACAGGTAAAATAAATGTATACTATATGTATAACTGTGCTTTCCATTCAAATTCCATATGCTGAACTGATTCCCCCACTTCATTAACCACATACAGTACTGTATTACAGATATCAGGAAAGATATCCACAGTTATTGTAAACCAATGATTTACGTTTATCCTATTATTTCCCAGTTTTTTATTTTTTTTCCTGTTATTTACATGATTGATAAACACCTTATTGTTACATTTGTTCACAGTTCCACAAATACACAAAATCACTTTCTTGCTAATTCACGAGGCAGTGTACAAAAAAGATTTTTGGTCTTACAAAAACGATGTTAAAAAGGATGTAAAGCTGTGTGTAGAGAGACATGAGGCACAATGCTCTGCTGTGCAACAGAACTATGGCATAATACAAACAGATGACTTATTAAATTTGGAAAGTTAATAATTGCCTTATGTAGTGGAGTCACATATTGCTTGTTTTTCTAATGCAATTACAGTACATGCTGAGATTATAACTCTTCACATGTCAGATGTCACCCTCCATAACAGGTGCTCCAAGTTGCTTATTTCTCCCTGCCTCTCTTCGCCCTGTCAGTGAAAGGAATAGGATTATGAAGATTGATTAATCTCTGTCAGTAATGCAGTGAAAGCCATCAAGTGTGTCCTCTGTTCTGACACCTTTGTTAAAGCTTTTAATCCCATTTGTTAATACTCAACCTGCTGCCCCTGCAGTTAGATGCCTGCGTCAGATGGATGTTAAATGCAGAGTGAACTATGCCAAGGCTTTGTTTGCTAATAAAAATCTGCATACTACCTAATAATGATATTGAGATATAACTTTTCAACTACAGATACAGTGTGGAGAGTTATTTACCCAAGTCACTGAAGTTCATTAAATACAAAAGAGAATGATTCCACTCTCTTTATTACCAGAAACAAAAGACTGGTTCATATCTGGAATCTATTTGTAATGTTAACCCATGTGAATAGCTTTATTAAAGGTCCTATTAAAAACATGACTGTGTGTTGAGTGATTTTCTGACAAGTAGCACTGCTATGAAGAGGTAAACTTTTTAAACATATTTGGGTGGCCCAAAGATCTCAGAGGTTTCCCATGTATTCCCATTGCAAAAGCTCCAATCTGGACATCTTCTAATGCAATTGTAATAATCAGTATTGGTTATGATCATGTGTCTCTGGTTTGTAACTATAATTTATTTTGTCTTTTTTAAATTGTTTATGCTTACCTCAAATATTTCCATCATGTCAGTAGGTTATACTGTAGATTATACAGTATGAGTCATTAATTACCATTATCAAAAGTGATGCCTCACACTTGGCAAATGGTGGCAGGTTGTAAACCTGTTATTTAACTATATAGAATAAAACATTAAACCTACTGTAAGTTAGAGCCATGCAATAAATAATACATTTGTGAAAGTTAGTGTACAGTTTTTGTTTGTTCACAACAAACATGTTATATGGTAAAACACCTAATCCACTGGTTTCGAACATTACGATAGAACTGATTAATGACTCAATGGACTTAAGTCTATTACAGTATTACAGTGGTGGGAAATAACTAATACATTTTCTCTTACGTACAAATTTGAGGTAATTGAACTTAACTTCCATTTTACGCTACTTTATGCTGCTAATACTTCTTCTTCACAACATTTCACAGGCTTTTTCTCAATTTTATTTCAAAAGAAATAAAACATATGATAAGCTAATAACATACAACACTTTGTTAAAGATTGAACCAGTTGTTCCCAACCTTATTGGGTTCTGAAATCAGTGTCTAGTTGGGGATTCTTGGCATGTTTCAGATGTCTATGAGTTTTTGGCAGTTCCATCAAAGAGACATTTCCCATTTAAACTTCTCAGATGGTTTCATTTCAATAACGGTTCAAATGTTCACAAAAGCAAAGAAAGAGTTTCCTCTCCCATTAATCATCTTACGGACTGTCAAATTTATCTTGTGATCCCTTTGGTGTGTATGTAACACATGAGATGAGAGAAGCGAAATTGCTGAAGCAGGTGAACTGTGCCTAATTTATTCAATATGCCTTACCATTCTGGCATGGTCAACTATGTAAGTAGGCTACAGTACTGAGTGGTTCCCTGGTTTCGGTTAAAATAAGTAGGCCTACATTACGTGACACGTAGGCCTAATGCATGCGTCATAAGTAAACCAAACCCCATTCTGTTTGACCACCCACCTACTCACATGAGTCACTGTGGGGAATTGAACCCTGGTCTCTCACACCAAAGGCATGTGTCTTTGACACTTCACTATCATCACCATGTTATGTTGTTATGTTATCAACTATTCCATTAGTTACAAATAACTATTGCAAAAATAAAATTACTAATAGCACATATTTTCCATTGAAATCAGTAGGGCTCTGCAGTTCAGATATCACCTGTTCATTAGTTTCTAGTAACTGTTCGAATACTTACCAATAACCATTTCTGTTTTACTTGTGTCTATTACTTAGATACTAGTGCTTATTTTTTAGTTACCGGTAACTATTTCATTCTGTAACAATTAAAATGTTACTATCAACAAGCCATTTTACTAGTCATTAATGAATGAAAGAAAATTTACTAGTAACTATTCAAATGTTAGTAGTATCTTTTGGAATAGTTACTAGTAACTAATGAATAGGTACTAGTATCTAAATTAGAGATACTACTAAAGTGGAAATAGTTATTAGCTATTTGAATAATTACTGGTAACCATGAATAGGTACTAGTATATAAATAATAGATATTAGTAAAACAGGAATAGTTACAAGTAACTAATAAATAAGTACTAGTAGCTTTTAAATAACGACTAATAAGTTTTAAGGAATAAATGTTAAAACAGCTTGCCATACTTTTGAGTGCAGGACTTTTGACTTGGAAAGGAGTAGCTTATGTTTACATTAATGTATTTGTACATTTACCTAAGATCTGAATACTACTTGCAGTGCATAAGTAGGCCTAGTGAAGGGCTATACAGAAGATTTTGTTATTTCACAGCAAGGCATAAAGTGAATTTGTTTATTGACAGTATGATAGTCAAATTTGAATAAAAACATTTGCTGTAAACTGTTGTTTGTGAATGGATATCAAAAACAACCAGGGCAACAACCCAGAGCCGATAAATAAAATGAATCTGGGTCTTTTTTTTTGGTAATGACTTTATTTTTCCCCACACGTTTTACGTTTCTTGAAGCACAATCAAGGTGGATTGGGATATGATGATATTAGAAAAACACACAAAAAAACATGTTTTAAATGTTTTACAATTAACGCTACTTCTGATACAAACATTGTAGGACTTTCCTCCTGCGTAATTTTCATCTTGATTGTGTTTGTTCAGTCCTAAACCTACTGTAGTGCTTTTCTTGGAAGTTACTGTTTGTTAAATTTGTATTCTTCAATAATAACAAAAAAAACTATTTCTCCTTTCTCTCTTTTTTAAAATTTTTATTGATGCATAGTTCATTACAGTAACAAAAATGTAAAAGATCCAGAAAATCCATTACATTTTACATTGCCAGAGTTCTATTAAGGTTCAGTAGTGCTTCAGTTCAACTCCATTGAAGCAGGGTTTGGATCCAGTCCATTTTGTGGATGTGGAATTTTCCAAGTATGATGAGGAGCTGCACAACAAAGTTAATACTGTGTATGTTCACAGTGGTAAAAAAGATGAAATATAGTTTCTCTTTCAAAATTGCAAAAATCACAGTTATAATCGATCCAGATAGCAAGACTACATTGAATAAATAATGATTTTCCATCTGAATCATCAGAATGGTTGAGATTGAAATCTCAACCAGATTGAAATCTCAACCCTAAATAAATGTTGATTCAGTATTACAATACTGATGAAAAACAACCATGTATGAGCGTGACATTGGAATCATATTGATTTATAGTTGTCCCGATTATACTTTATTAAGCATTGATTTGTAGTTGACAACAACGTTTAAAAATCATCTATTTATGGTTGACCAGAAATTACATGATTGAAAAGCCATTGATTTATAGTTGACCGGGAAACATGATTGAAAAGTCAATGCAGTATTTTTGACCATGAGACCATCGTTTTGTAAGTTTTGTAAGACTGAGGACCAGGGTGCGGATACAGAACACTCAAGGCCAGTAAAGTAAAGAGTTTATTTACAAAGAACTGAGGAACTAGTAGTACAGAGTGGTAGTAGGGGAGATGTGAGCAGGGTCAGGCCGTCCTGGGCAGTGGCAATCAGCACTCCTAAAGATCCTCCAAGCAGGACAAAAACACACCGGATGCGGTAACTTGAAAAAGGAGAAAGACAAAAGAACGTAGTCTGGGTCCAGGCAGAGAACACACTAGAAACAAACTCAATGCTCAAGTAACTAAACAGGCCTGAAGTACTCAACCATGCGATGGCTAGGAATAATCTGGCGATGAGTCTCAGGGAGCCCCACATCTTAAAGCCAGGCGTAGATGAGGATTGGCAACAGGTGTGTGTTAATGTTAGACAATTTAAATAACCTTAAACTATAAACGTCAGTGGATTCCACCACAGCCAGGCAGTCTACATCTACAATAAACTGGCGAATTGGTAACGTTAGTGAATATATATATATATATATATATATATATATATATTAATTAAATATATCTATATAATAACATAGCACCAATTCAGCCCGACAGACATTGTTCATCTTCACCTCCTTTTCACTACTGAAAGTTGTTTTGTTTGTATGTTTTCTGTTATAGATGCCATGACTGAACCAATGGGGACAGAAGTCTTTGACTGCCCAGGCAGCACAAAAGTGGCTTCCTATGCTCCAGATCTGATGGGTGGACAGAGAAGAACAGGAGTAGTGAATAATTTTTTTTATTCCACAAATAAACTTGTATTTTTTAACTGATTAAATTGTCCACTGTCATTTATACATTTTTAATATATTATAGTCTCTTTTCTGTGGTTTAATATTGGTTGAAATAACATTGAAGTCACGTTGATTTTTAGTTAGGCTATCATTTCAACATTGTTTCAATATTAAAATGATGCAAAATGATAATAAATCAACATCAGAGTCTGATGTTGATTCAATGATATTAGCGTTGAGAGCAGAATGCTGATTCAACATAGTTTCAATGTTTGCTATCTGGGGATGTTAAGTTTAAATCTTTGTAACACTTTGGGGGGGTAAATACGATGTAATATCTTAAAGTTCACTTCTTTTACCTTATTATTAATACAATATTTGTTAAGAATATTACATGCCCTTTTCCACTGTAAATCACTCACCAAAGGAACTTTGCTGCCAAGAGCATGGTATAGTCCAAAACATTCCTTATATGTTTGTTACTGCACGACTTATTCTCATATAATATAATAATTCCTGCTATAAAAACATATTAGAATCAATGTTTTTTCTGTATTATTAACATTTCTCAAAAATTGAAGAGGACCTGCAGGAATAGCATCAAAAACAATGGCATATTCTTTGGGTGTGATCTGGGTCCGCAGATAGATACAGATGCGATGACGTGTTAGTCACGTGACCAAAGACGACGCGCTCTCTAACATTTGAATCATTCTTCGACTCACTGTCATGATCGGATCTTTTTGAACCTGTCCCTCATAAAAGAGTTCAATGTGTACAGAAACTGTCAGCCAGTGCTCTGTCAAGTGATCTCACGACGAACGCTTTGGAATATTTACTCTTATCTGTTTTAATGGCCCCTTCACGCATTAATACTCCATTCAAAGTGTGGTTTCAAATCTTCCAGAGTGGCCGTCACACCCTGTAACGAGCGGTTCAGAATAAGCGAATCATTCACCGCTCGCTCACTCAAACTGTTGCAGCTGCCCGGAAAGCTAGTTTCAGACAACTGGCTAGCCGTAGCCAAGGGAATAGCAGGGACTCGCGACTAACTAATGTATTTAGCTACAGTATTTATAAAATTAACAGGATCCCATCCAGATCATAAGCAGCAAGTGAAGGAACATTTACCAGAACTGGCAGGTAGGTGGACAACAGATTACGTTAACGTTACATTTCGTTCCTTCAGTTGCTATTAACATAATGTCAGACTGTTGAGCAAAACACCAACAGATAGCTAACTAACTTAACCACTCAGAAAACCTGGGTCAAGCCATGACTGAAAATGTATTAAAAAGTCGCTAAAGTGAGGTTTAGTGAGAGTCTCAATACGTCAATAGCTAACTTAACGTTAGCAGGCTCGATTCTTTCTTAGCTAACGAAATAAAAATTTGAATAACTTACCTGGGATATATCAACCATTGTTTGGGTTTGTTTTAGGCGTAACAAATTTATAGGACAGTCCACCTAAACCTGGGTAGCTAGCTAGCCTTGTCCAACGGGCCTGTGGATATTGCCGTTATGTCTCTGTATTTAACGAACGTTAGTTCTTCTCTGTATTTAGGCTATTCGATCAATGCTTAAAGTCTTCTTAAATACCATATAAATGGGACTGAATAACAGTGACATGTGTGGCTCAAACGATTATTCTAGTTTAAAAGGGTGAGGTCAACAGCAGTCGACTGGGATGTTCTAATTGTACAGGGTCTTCTTCAGTCTAACACCACATGGTGGCGCTGGTTCATAGTGAGACCTGGGCTAAATTAGCCTGATTGCTTGTTTATTAAAACATGACTAAGGGGAGTGGATGAAGTAGCATATGTCAGTGAGGAAGGCCCACCGTCTACTATTGCTAATAAATGCCTAGTCCTCACAGAAGCAGTTTTTAGGCCTTGATTTGAAGGTATATGAGGTATATAGGGTTAGAATTAGCACCACATACACATACCCTCACATACTGGCTGCTCTAAAGCTGTACACTTTAAATACAGTCTATGGCTGTATATAGATAACTTGGATTTTAAGAAATCATGAGGTTCTATGTTGACAAATTGCTACATTTTTGTAGGAGGCCCATCCCATCACACATGTAGATCAAGATCAAGGGAGTTCCTCCAGGTTATCATGCAATCAAGGAAGCATGGTCTAATGCATTCTGCAGGCTAGATAGGAAGGAGCTGCAAACATGCTGCCCATGATGGCAGTTGTGCATCATGTACTTTAAGTGACACATACTGCTACATATGTTTAGTTTTCATGTGAAATATATATCAGCATTGACTTCTTTTCCAGTCCACTCCAGGCCTCTGTTATGTTACTGTATATATATTGTGATGGATTTTGAGTTTGGTCACTGTGTTTCAGATTAGAAATGGAAGGAGATGATTGCAGTTTTCCTCCAGATTCAGCGGATGATCACTCGCAGAGAGGAAGTGTCGCTTCGTCTGCAACACTTTCCCGTGGTACGGCGCAGAAAATATTCACAAGACTAACAGAGGATAAAATCACTCCTCAGTGTTTTTCTGCACTGTTTTTATTTGTAGCATAGTTTAATTTTTTATCTAATATTGTATCTCTTTGACTAACTTGTATTTGTAATTTTGTTTATTTTTGTTTTGTTTGTGTTTGTTCACACAGCTCAAGATGTGCTTATATATGTGTTTGGTGACAGCGCAGTACACTTATCGGTAGAAGGACTCGGCAGCGTCACTGTGCAGGAGTTGGGCCGCAGTGTTCGTGAGGCTCTCCATATTCCTGAGTTTGCACAGGAGGCTTTTGCCTTCTGGCTCTGTTCCCCACTGCTCGGTAAGAACTTTTTTCCCCCACACTTTTTACACTCATAAATCCTTTGACTCTTTATCTGGGTATGCTATTGTACGAGAAAGTTGTATGTGTATGCTTCTCTCTCAAAAAAGATCATATATTGCCATAAAATATTACATTATTTTTGGAAGGATATGCGATGCCTGAGCAAACCGAACTGGACAAAGTGCTTGGCCTTTATACAGTGCTGCATTGCTTGAGTTAGGAATAAAAGGGTACACGCATGGTTCAGCAATGGTTCAACACAGTATGTTTTTATTTATGTAGTCAACTGTATACAGCAGGAAAAATTAAGTTTTAAAAATCAGGTCAGTCACAGAAAATGACTTGTTTGTGCTTTGTGGCTTTCCTGTGAAATAGCCATTTTCTCTTTAAATTAATTCTACCTTACTTCAATGTCAGCAGCTCCAGTACCACGTAGCAAATAGCATAAGAATCAGAACAGGAAAACGGGCACATTTCATTGCGTTCCATTTGCCTCCTCCTTACTCCTCAGATTTGCAGTTAAAGGCAAGGCATCAACCATACAAACTGTGTCGGCAGTGGCAGGACTTGTTGTATCGCTTCACTTTGGCCTCAGAGGAAGACATCTCGCAAGGTGAGAGTTTCGTGTCTGTATCTCGGTGTGTTTACATGCACTAAGTAACGGCATTATAAGCTTTCCTCAATTAGCACTTTTTATTTGGGTGACATTTGAACAAGAAACCTGGTTTCTTTAATCTTTATAAAGCCAGGTTTCTGCTTGAGACACTTGATTTCTTGGCCTTGTACGCACTGAACTTTGGGGCGGCTCAGGAGGTAGAGCGGGTTGGCCGTTAATCGGAAGGTCGGCGGTTCAATCCCTGGCTCCCCCTGGTTGCGTGTCGAAGTGTCCCAGTGCCCTGGCGGCTATTCCGCCAGTGTATGAATGTGTGTGACTGGTGAATGCAGATGTAGTGTGAGTGGTCAAAAAGACAAGAAAGGCGCTACACAAGTACGGAGCATTCATTCAACCAGGTTTCTAACAGACTTACAAGACTTGTGCATGATGAAGACTCAGGACAAGGGTTGCAAAGCAATGGAAAATAAAGAGCATTATTTGTAGCAATAAACACCTATGGTTGAACAAGCGAAGTGAAGTCTCAGAAGCGTGAAAAGATTACAGTTGCAACATTTTAGTGAATATTTCCTATTAAAATAATATAACGGAACAGCATAGATATTATTATTTTATTATCTTTACCCTTAAATCTTTCATATTATACTAGGACTGCAACTGCAGATTATTTTTACAATTAATTGTTAAATATGTAAAATTGCAAAGAATTGTGGAAAATCACAATATCATCACAATCTCCCAGACTCCAAAGTGACATCTTCATATTGCTTCTTTTGTCCAAATGACAGTCCCACATTTTGAAGATGTTACCATCTTGATGTTTTTACCAGCAGATACATTACAGTGAAACATTTTTTGTCGCTGTAATTGTTCCTCCTGTTCATACGGACTGCGAAATTCCCTCCTAATGTGATTCCAATGTAACTGATGGGGGGGGGGGGGGTCCACAGTCCTAAAACTGCTTTCTGAAGTTGAGCTTAAGCTGATATGAGGCTTCAGCAGTTTGTGTTAGACAAATGAAGTGGGTATCAAAGTTACAGTCTACTGCAAAATTCCCTCTTTGTGTTACTATTCCTCTTCTACAGCTCAACCAGGAAGCTGGTAAAGGAAACAGTCGGAATTTGTTAGGAAGCACTATCCTGTAAGTGTGTTACAGCTTGATGAATCGTCTTGTATCGATAAAGTGTTACAGATACATAATCCTTTCATAATCGTATTATTGGTGTAGCATGTCATATAAATGGACTTCTGCTGAACTGTAACACAATTTTAATAAGTTGTAAATGAGGTGTCAGGCACTGACTCAAAGTCTGGTGTTATTTGTCTTTACTTTGATAGTCGAAGTAGAACAGCCCAGGCTTGTTTGTTTGTGGCGTGGCAGGTCCTTTTGGAAGAACAGGGGACACTGCTGTCACAATACAACAGTGACAGCTTACCACTAATTAAGCAAAAATGTATCGCAACACAAATTTATTGCATAACAACTTAAATGCTGCTTTTTTTGTGGAGTAGATGGGTCTTCCACCCACAATACGGGATGATGAGCCGGAGCTGAGTGGGTTGGAGGGGGCTTGAGTGGGCTTGAGAGAGTCTCAGTCTTTGTCTCTATACCCTCACTTGTCCAATATCACCCAGTGTTGACTGGACGAACTGAAAACACAGATGTTACTCTAATGTGTCATTGTCCTCTGCTTTTCTTCAGATGAACCATATCTCCAGTTCCGTCGGAACGTGTTTTATCCTAAATCTAAAGAGCTGCAGGTACTACTAACCCTAATTCTCTGCAAACACTTCAATATCATTGCGTTGTTAAACCTGCTGACTCGCAAAATGCTGAGTGAGCTTTAATGAAGATATTTGTTTAATATCTGAAAATTCTGTTTATACTAACAGACTAACACACTAATAATTGTTGTCACTGTCTCACTCCTGTGCAGATAAATGATGAGGGAGTTTTGAGGCTTCTTTATGAGGAGGCCAGGAACAACATTCTCTCGGGTCGATACCCATGCGATCCCGAGCACTGGATGGCTCTCGGAGCTTTGTCTCTTGCTCTTGATGAGGGAACTGGTCTTGACAGCCAGCAATTTACTACTACTATAAGGTAAGTTAGACGGCTTGGTTAAATAAACATTAGATGAAATTCTGGATGTAGACATTGTGGGAAAACACTCTTATTCGATTTTTCACCAAAAAAATCATGAGAAGATCTTCATTGAGTGGTATAGATATTCACTTTTACCTGAGGAAGATCACGTGAAGCGAACACACATGTATTTAATAAATTATCAAATATCACACAATTATCTCCTAATTTGATTTGTATGCCAAATCATGATTTAATATTGGAGACAACTAGAAAATAATTTATATTTTCAAACAATCTTTACTTATTGAAGTGCTAGATTAAATCATACTTGATGGATGGATACACAGAGGAATATGTCCTGGTGTAAATGTGTCAGGTTATCTAATCAAGAGATGATTACATGTAACTTCATCACAAATAAATACAAGTGTATGTTTACTTCTTTACCTTTACCTGAAAGACCATCTGAAATAATTCTAGTAACAGTCTGTGGTTGAATTATTAAATAATAAGAATAATAATAATCTTTATTTGTTGAGCACTTTTCAAAAACAAGTTACAAAGTGCTTTAACAAGCGTAAAGACAATAATACCCAAAAGACAATAATACAAAAACAATACAAGATAAAAGCATGAAAACATTGAAAAGACTAAAATACACGTTTAAGATAAATATAAAATTAGTAAAATAGAATAAAATAAAAGGGATAAAATAAAGTCAAATAAGATCGGGAAAGGCTCTCCTATAAAAGTATGTTTTAAGAAGGGACTTAAAAGAGTTCACTGACTCAGCCGACCTGATTTCCTCGGGCAGGCTGTTCCAGAGCCTCGGGGCCCTGACAGCAAACGCTCTGTCCCCTTTAGTTTTCAGTCGAGACTCTGGAACAGACAGCAGACCTCTGCCCGAGGATCTCAAGGTACGTGCTGGTGCGTATAGGACTAAAAGTTCAGAAATATAACATGGCGAGAGGCCATGAAGAGCTTTAAAAGTGATCAATAAAATTTTAAAGTCAATTCTAAAACACACTGGGAGCGAGTGTAATGAAGCTAAAATAGGAGTAAAGCTAAAATAGGAGTAAATCAGTCATGTCCACATGATAAAAGAGTAGTTTGTCTTTTGTGTGTGCATAATTTAGTCTGTCTTCATCAGGCTACACCAACGAGCATGACTGAAATGCAGACTGCTCATACGCTGTTAGCTTGAATATTTCCATTAAGGCAGAAAGCGAGAGAGCAGAAAGCATTGAAACCTATTATTGAAATAGAAACTGTTTTGAAAAACATGAATTCATTTAAACACACAACTGTGGTGTAACCATATACACATACACTGTTAACTTGAAAGTTTCTGATTAGATAATCAAAACTTTGCAAAACACTTTCAACACATGATCCTACTTGGCTTTCTGTTCTTTGACTCCAGCACTTAAATAAACAACTTGAAGTCTTGGTTTAAGTTTGCCTTTTGAGAAAATGTATGTAAAAAAAGTATGTAATGGCCCCTGCTGTTAATTTTTCCTTGCTTCAGCTTAATGTACTGGGGGGAAAAAGCACAACCAAACTCCTGTCCCTCAACCTGCATGTTCTAAAGGGCCACTGGGCAAATTGAGCAGCTCTTGATACTTCAGCACAATCAGTGACTAAACGTTGCAATCCGATGAATATCTACAGGAATTGTGAAAAATGTCAACAGTACTTTTTTGTTTGAAGGGGCTCAGATTTTTCTTTATGTTGATAACACTATTGTGCAACAGCAGTGTTTTCCGGTTACTTGTTGTTTGTAAGTGCAAGAATGCACACAATGACATTTGTGATTGGATGGGATGATCACAGGAATGTGAGCCTT